GACACTCGGTATTCATTTAATCTTCTGAATAGAATTTGGACTCCTAAACCATGTTTGATGTGTGCGTAGATATTGAGTGTATATACGTCCTGCATAGTGACATGAATCTTGTTATGTTATTCTCTGTGCTGTATAGCTTATTACTTGCCCCAAAATGCTGGGGCCATAGCTCGCAAGTACATAAAGGATCCTCAATTATTGTCTTTCATTGATGCAGAGGTGAGAAAATACATTTTTTTCTTAACTTGTGCAATTTTCTTCACCCAGTTTTATAGCCAGAATGTAGCATGGTTATCACCCTTCATATTTGCCTGCAGTGTTTCATCGTGAGCACAGTCAATGCTTTGCAGACGCCAATGATCAATGCAAGTATGGTAGGATTCTTGTTTTTGCATTTGGTGTCTACTCGTGTTTTCCTTCCTGTTATTTTTTCTTATATGTTCAAGGACAGGTTTTATGTGACAGGCACTATGGAGGAATTAACTACCCAGTTGGTGGAGTTGGTGGAATTGCCAAGTCTTTGGCAGAAGGACTTGTTGATCAAGGCAGTGAAATACTCTACAAGGCTAATGTAAAAAGTATAATACTTGATGATGGAAAGGCAGTAAGTTTCTGTATGAGTCTTGTTAAAGTTTTATTTTTTCATTGACCCTTCGAATTCCTTTTTGGTTATGAAAATCGTTTTATTTTCTGGACCTGAAAACTTCAGGTTGGTGTAAGGCTAGCAGATGGAAGAGAATTTTTCGCTAAAACGATAATTTCAAATGCTACAAGATGGGATACGTTTGGTAAGAGAAAACAATGACTTATGTAACTGTCGAATTGGTGTCTTGTTTTGTAAGTATACTTAACAATTGTATTACTGTGCTGTAGGGAAGCTGTTAAAAGGAGAAAAGCTTCCTAAAGAAGAAGAAAATTTCCAGAAAGTCTACGTCAAGGCTCCATCCTTTCTTTCGATTCACATGGGTGTTAAAGCAGAGGTTCTCCCTCCAGATACAGATTGCCATCATTTTGTGCTCGAGGTCTGGTAGTCTCTTACTAAGATCTACTCCTTTCCCAGGTTTACAGTTATTGAATAGCGACTTTCCTTTTTTCTGTAGGACGATTGGAAGAATCTGGAGGAGCCTTATGGCAGTATATTCCTCAGCATTCCAACCATTCTTGATCCATCTTTGGCTCCAAATGGTCGACATATACTTCACATATTTACAACTTCGTCCATCGAGGATTGGGAGGTAAGGCTACTAATTTTATTGCTATTTTCCTTAGCTGTAGAATTATCCTCTTGTCCTGGTTTATTATTGATTTGCTCATCTTTGTTTATCAATTCGTCCATATTTTGGTACTAGGGACTCCCTCCAAAAGAGTATGAGGCGAAAAAGGAAGATGTGGCAGCTAGAATAATCCAGAGACTAGAGAAAAAACTGTTTCCAGGGCTCAGTTCATCTATTACGTTCAAGGAGGTTAGGCTTGTTCTTTATTCCCCTACAATTTTCCATGCACATTGTAGAAATTGTGATAGTAGGTCTGCATGATATGAGAAATCTGTATCTGAAGCCCAGACAAGCCTATGTTTTATTTTGGTGTTTAGCCTGTATATCTAAAAGTTTTTTGAGGCAGGTGGGAACACCAAGAACACACAGACGATTTCTTGCGAGGGATAAGGGAACTTATGGGCCAATGCCTAGAGGAACCCCAAAAGGTTTATTAGGGATGCCGTTCAATACAACAGTAAGCTAAAGAAAGATATAGATAGATAACGTCAGGTTTGGTTAGTTTTTCTGGTGAATGGTTTTGCTAATGAAAGAATGGTTTGACTAATAATAGGCTATAGATGGTCTATACTGCGTGGGGGATAGTTGCTTTCCTGGTCAGGGAGTTATAGCTGTGGCTTTCTCAGGAGTGATGTGTGCTCATCGGGTAGCTGCTGATATTGGTGAGAAAAAGCCATATTTTTGCAATATGTTAAATACGTAGAATGGTTGATTACTATGAGCATAAGAAGCAATCACTTTCGTGTTTTGATTATTAGGGCTTGAGAAGAAATCACGGGTACTTGATGTAGGCCTTCTTGGTTTACTTGGTTGGCTAAGGACACTCGCATAACTCTAGTGATGATAGTTGTCCTGAAAAAGCTAGACTGAAAAGAGAGAGAGATCACAAGAAGATCAACGGAAATGTTCCCAAGTCTAATAACAGCTCTACTATGAACAAAATGATATAATGAGACCAACCTTTTCTGCACATAGACATGCTTTTGGACCATTTGATTTGTTCTACTGGTTTTAAGAATAATAGACCCATGGTTTTTGGTGGGCCAAGCTATACAATAAGAAACCCACCTACAGTCAATTCAACTACTCGGCCTAGTAATTAATCCGTAATGAGGTTGCCAAATATTCTCAACTGAGAACGTGCTCACTTCTAGAATTATTCAGAGACCACAAAAGCTGATGCACTTGAGATTAGTTGGAGGCAAATGAGTGATCATTGTGCTAAAGCCTAAAGGTGAGATTGGTTGGAGGCAAAAGAGTGATCCATATGCTAAAGGTGTTTGTATAATCGGGTCCGATTGGTAGCCACCATTTCATGATTTTTTGGCGGTTAGAAATTGTCCCCAAATACGGTGATGGATTAACTTAAAACAATCCATTTCCTAAAAAATGGAGTACTTGCAAGTATCTTAAGATCTTCTATCAATCTCATTCTCATTCTATTCCACATATGAGGTCACTTTCTTCTTTTATTATTATGTTTTCTTGGTTTAATAATAATATCTGATGTGATTGTGATTGTGAACCAGCAAATTATTGTATCTTTATTTATTTTTTTATTTTTTTTATAGCACTTAAATTATTGTATGTTAAGTTCAACATCTTATTTTCACATTTGAAAATGATATATACGCATGCAGCATGAGCATTATTTTATTTTATACAAGAGTGCAATAAATTTCGTTACGACTTTGAAACTCATCAAGCTTTCAACAATGGCGACCATTCCCTCCCACAACTTTCACCTTCGTCTTCCTCATATGATCAACCAAAGGACTCAGTACTCTCTTTCCCTCAAACCACACTTTTCACACTCTACTCTTATCACTTTTCCGACGAGAGCATCGCCGGCAAGGGCTATGTCCACAACGGACGAGGAGGCTTCAATATCTACAAGGCTCGAGCCAGAAAGCTATGGGCTGACGACGGCGGAGGACATCCGCCGACGGGATAGAGAAGCTAAAGAATCCAAGAGGTTGAGAGACACGTGGCGGAAGATCCAAGGGGAAGATGATTGGGCCGGGTTAATGGATCCTATGGACCCGGTTCTGAGATCCGAACTGATCCGGTACGGAGAAATGGCCCAGGCCTGTTACGACGCCTTCGATTTCGATCCATTCTCAAGGTACTGTGGGAGCTGCAGATTCACGCGCCGTCACCTGTTCGATTCGCTCGGGATAATCGATTCCGGCTACGAGGTGGCGCGTTATCTCTACGCGACGTCGAACATCAATCTCCCTAACTTCTTCTCGAAATCGAGATGGTCCAAGGTGTGGAGCAAGAACGCCAATTGGATAGGTTACGTGGCGGTTTCCGACGACGACGAAGCCACGCGCTGCCGTTTAGGACGGCGAGACATCGCGATCGCATGGAGAGGGACCGTCACGCGGCTCGAGTGGATAGCGGATCTCAAGGATTTCCTCAAACCGGTATCCGGAAACGGATTCCGGTGTCCCGACCCGGCCGTTAAAGCCGAATCCGGGTTTCTGGATCTCTACACGGACAAAGACACGTGCTGCAATTTCTCAAAATTCTCGGCGCGTGAGCAAGTTCTGACGGAAGTGAAGCGGCTGGTGGAAAGGTATGGCGACGAGGAAGGAGAAGAACTGAGCATCACTGTGACGGGACACAGTCTCGGTGGTGCGTTGGCGGTACTAAGCGCGTACGACGTGGCGGAGATGGGTCTGAACAGAACTAGGAAAGGAAAAGTGATTCCGGTGACGGCGTTCACGTACGGAGGACCGCGCGTTGGGAACATACGATTCAAGGAGAGGATTGAGGAATTGGGAGTGAAGGTGTTGAGGGTGGTGAATGAGCATGACGTCGTGGCAAAGTCGCCGGGACTGTTTCTGAACGAGCGTGCGCCACAGGCGCTAATGAAATTGGCGGGAGGATTGCCGTGGTGCTACAGCCACGTGGGGGAAATGCTGCCGTTGGATCATCAGAAGTCGCCGTTCCTTAAGCCCACCGTTGATCTTTCAACTGCTCATAACTTGGAAGCTCTCCTCCATCTCCTTGACGGGTCAGTCATTTTTTTTATCTTTTTTTACTTAAAAAGTCATGTGAAGAAAATATGACTAGTATGAACACAAAGTTTCCAGCTAATCTTTAGACAAGTCAAAAGACCATTTTCCAACATCACTCTTTAGTATTAATACCGATTTTTATAAAAAAATCGGTAAATATTGCTTCATTCATTAATGTGGTCATTTAATCTGATTTACGTGGCACTTCTTTCTGTGGCTAGTTTGGAGAGAATTAATTATTGAAACCACTAAGACCAAATAATTTATCTTTCGTGTCAACTTTGGTTGCTATTTCTAGATCATTTTTGTCGTTAAGAGCATAAAAATATTAATATGAGGTGATGAATCTGGAAAACGATACAACTACAGAACTACTACTAGCTTATACACTATTCATGGGGTCTTTATATATGGAGAAAGTCAATTTGATGAGAGTGTATTATTGATTTAAAATACAGGTATCATGGGAAAGGGCAGAGATTTGTGTTATCAAGTGGGAGAGATCCAGCTTTAGTGAACAAAGCATCTGATTTTTTGAAAGACCATTTCATGGTCCCTCCCTATTGGCGCCAAGACGCAAACAAAGGGATGGTCAGGAACACTGACGGCCGTTGGATTCAACCAGATCGCATCCGTGCAGATGATCATCATGCTCCTGACATACTTCAACTTCTCACCCAACTCCACCATCCATCACAACTCTTGTAATTAATGTCTTTTTTTATCTTCCTAATTTGTGTCATTGCTTTTTTACATTACAGAGAAACAAGAATATGCGTTCCTACATACCTATGCTAGGATTAAAAAAAAAAAAAAAAGTAGTTTGAAAGCTATTTTTAGTTTTCATCAAAACTGGCTTGATCATCATCCGGTTATGATTCCATCCGAGTATGGGTAGACTAAGTCTCAGTCTCTCACTCTTCTTGATCAATCTGTTCATAAGAATCCCACCAAGAAACAGGCCCCAAACCATCCTCATCCATATTCCCCTGCACATTTCACAAAAGTTGATTGATCACTGGACCGAAATGGGAAAACCAAAACAAAAAATCATGGTGTCTCAAAAGAAAAGTTTAGTATCTAGAAGAGAGGAGGGAATCAAGAGGCTTATCTAACCTAACTAGCCTTGTTTATTATGCATACACAAGTGGAATTTTTTTAGAGGATGAGTTCGATGAATTAACAACTTACAGTGACCACCATTGGAGCAAAAGGCTTCGCGTCCTCTGCTCGCTCAGTTGGAACTGATGGATAGCTGATGCTCTCTACTCGAAATTTGATCTGCCATTTACAATGTCTCGTTATAAAACAGACCACATTCAGAAAATAATGCTTAAAGAGACATTAAGGAACCAAAAGTTAACCTGACAGGAATCGTCGATTATGAAGTCTTCTAACGGTTCTCCATATTCCCACACCCATATCATTTGCTTCCTGTTGACAAAACAAAAAAAAAAAAAAAAAAAACTTTGTGATCAAATGATACATACAGATGTTCGTACAATCTCCTACTCATAGTTGGAGAGCTGATATTATTTCATAAACTGCAGGACACATTTTCCTTACCTATTATACGGGTCAGGCTCACAGCGGTTGGGTTTCGGCATAAGTGGAGCAGGCACATAAATATCGTCAAAAAATCCAAGTGTTACTGCCAAGTATAGAGGTATCGTAATCATGTAAATGAATAACAATATCCATGATTTCAAAGTATTAAGCTAACATGCTAACAATGTACTAGAATAACAGGATGTAGACAGTGCATAACATTGGAATTCTTCAGGGAATAGTAAAACAAAGTACTCACAGCGCAAGCCATTGGAGTCAGATTCTTTGAACTTTGCAGCTATGACCTCACCAACAAATGGACGGAACACAACAATTCTAAAACCTACCTACAAGTATTAACAACACAACATGAGATATTGAATCAAGGCATGATAAAAACTTCTGAAAATAAATATCTTTACCAAAACCATACAGTGAAAGTTTGTGATGAAGAATCATGCAGTGAAAGTTAGACTGCAGATAACTGAGTCCACAGAAGTAAATTCTTAGGGGAACATTTGAAACTCTAGTAAGATGATGATGAGTCAACTTAATACAGTGCAGAAATTGCAATACACGGTGATAGGTCAACAATGATGCCACTAACAGTGACATAGGGAGGACATAAACTTGATAAAAACCATGTTCAACTGATAAAAAGAAGACAGATGAGTAATTTGGATATACCTTATATGTCGCAGCACCATCACCGGGTAAAACAAAGCCTCCTTCTATTGATTTAATGTCGTAAACAGATACGCAAAGCCCCAAATCTGCTAAAACCTTACATATCAAAAATCCACATTGATAAAATTAGCCAGGTGTGTATATAAACAAGCAGACAATGGATAAAATAAAAGTAAAAGAAAAAGGCAATGAGCAAACCTTGTCCAAGAAGACATTTTGAAGCACTGACTTAATGGCATCTTCGAGAGGGAGGTTAAGTAGATGCGGAGGCACTCTTAGTGAATGTTCAAGCTCGCTAAGATAAAACATTTTCTGGAAATTTGTTCAAAAGTTTAAAATTCACAAGTCAGATGCATAGAAACAAACAATCAGACAAGTAGAATTCGAAAAACGAACAGAAAATTAGGAGCATTCTGGGTGTGTATCATCAAAAGTTCCAAAATTCATATCTCAAAATTCATTAAATCCGTAGTAAAAGTCAAATCCTCAAGATTAAGCATATGCCGAGAGCGTACACAAATCTGCCATTATCATAACTATAGGAGAAGAAAAAAAAAATCTAAAATCGGGCAACACCTAAACCACTGAAGACAAGATCGGCTCGAGGAACTCCGAGAGATGGTGATGAAGACAATGATTAGACGGAAAAGTGAAAAGTTGAGTATAGATTGGAAGAAGAGAGAGCCCAAGAATCGAGTGAGGAAAATGCGGACGAAGAAGAAGAAGAAGAACGGTTTTAGGGTTTAGTGAATCGAGTGAGGAAGATACGGAAGAAGAAGAAGAACAATTTTAGTGTTTAGTTATTAAAGTCAGAACTGAAAAATCGTTATGGTTATAAACCGAACCGAACCGAAAAGAAAACCGCACTCTTTTCACTCATTCCGGTGGCCAAAAAATGGAAATTGGGAAATAACGTAATTTTCTCAAAAAGTAAGAAAACAATCTGATGCTGTAACTAAAGTCGAAGTAATATGTATTAAGCTCTGATGAAAAGTACGAAAAAGGAAGAACCAAGATTTACACTGAGGGTGGGTTAAAGAATGAAGCTAATTGACATTTGATACCATGCTTGAGTAGCTTGTTTAACAAAAATAATCTAAACTGAACCTAAGTTGTCTGAATTTGTTTTTTTCCGTATCAAGCTTGAAGATTGCACTGTTGCAAGTAGGTGTGATAGTAAGGGACGTGAATGTTCCAGTAACGTTTGTAATTCTCTTTTCCAATGTCCAACCACGGCTTCATAACTCCATCGTAGTGTATAACCGCCGCTTGTTCGATGTCAACCGCTTTGACTCCTGATTCGCGACCTAGCCCCATCACATGCCATCTCTTGTCCAATGCTAATGTTTGCCTATAGAAAGTCAACCAACCTATTGGTAAGCTCCCAGCTTTCCACAATGGTCTCTTTGTTCCCTGCCAAAAAATTAAATCCCCAAAACCCTTGTTAGGTTAACGTCCATTACACACAAATGCTAATGTGTATATACATAGAAAAGATATGTTGTTGCTTGTAACCACTCTTCTTCTAGGAGATGATCTTACTACTAGCTTGCTTATGTTCGTTTGCTAGTTATAGCAATGTTATTTGAGTTCTTAATTCTAAACCTTTCATCCCCCAGACAGCCAACCTAAAACCCAATAGTTATTACAACCTTTTTCATATATTATGTCGAATAAACAAATCTAAGAACCCATTTGAAAACTTTGAATATGGAAGGGAGAGCAAGTGCAGTAGAGTGTGTGTGTGTGTATAGCGTACCAGGTTGAAGTATTTTATGTATGTAGAAGTCAACTTCCGTATTCTCCATTCTTCGAGATCAATAAGATTCATCCCGAACGCCCATGTGCAAGCTCTAGGACTAAATTTCCCAGCGACCCATGTGTCTGAGAAATTAATAAATGTGCTCATTGATCGAAATGAAGATTCACCTTCAAGACAAGTCTCTACAGCTCCAACCACCTTTCCTTTCATATCAATACTCCACAGTCTACTTAAATCTCTTTGAACTACTACATCATGGTCAAAGAGTACGATCTTGTTCAAACCCGGGAATATATCCGGCAGATAGAAGCGTGCGTGATTGAGGGGAGAAATGAATCTTGGGTCATTAGAGTTTTGCTTCATCAGCAATTGATCATAATCTGGAGGTAGGACATCCATATCATCAATGTTGAGGATTTGGATGGTAGCCCTACTTTGAATATTTAGCAGAAACCACATTGAGATTGCTGGGTAATTAAGTGAATCAGTCACGACATGGAAGACTATTCTTTCCGGCTCCTGCAAGCAGCAATCAGAAGTCAGATTAAAAAAGTGGCTGAAGTAAATGAGACAGTATAGTGTAAGACACTTGAAACGTAACATATGATAACCAAGTAGAAATTTGTAAAAAGAAATGCATGATACCTTTGAAGAAGATATCGTAGAGTTAACAACGACTGAAGAAGCCAAAACATTGTCAGAGAAGACAACATAATGGTTAAAATTAGGGTCATAATAATTTTGCTGGTTAGGCATCTGCCTTTTTTCAGGATCCAGTGAAAAGTATTCTGATGTCAGCCGCATTGAGAGACAGTGAAGCCCTTTTGGGGTGGTCCTTGCTGCAAGCTGCATTAGATATGCTGCTTGATTTTTCTGCGCCTGAACCTGTTCTTCTGTGTTATAATTCATGGCACGGAGTTTGGTAGCAATGGCAGGGCAATTGTTGAAGACACGACTAGCCTTGTATAACACATTTTCCATGGGCTTCACCCTGCGAAGAGCGCTGAAAGAAACAATCATGCCAGAGGTTACTTAAAGAATATTCTTAAACAGCGCGATTTTTGGCACTAAAAGGTTGTAGTTGTAACAGGAAGTTTCTGAATGCAATTATGGTATCCTCTCCTTTTAAATCAAGCAGTTGTGCTTACCCCTTTGATAAGTCCTTATCCTTTGTTGCATCCCCAACAGACCGTTCCAGCTCTTTCGTCCGACCTCTCAACTCCCTCACAATTTGAGAGTTACTTCCAGGTGGAGCGAAATTCAGGTAGGCTTTAGCTTGAATAATTTTGTCTCTGATCTCCTTTATTTTCACATCTGTTGCTCTATTGGGCTGAACCCTTGTGTTCTTTTCACCCTTAGATAAAGGGGGCTTGAAATCCGTTTTATTAGCAAGTTGGTTGACTGTTGGTAGAATTTGACCCTGACACACACAAGAAAAAAAAAAAAAAAATTGTAATCTTGAAACATCTGATCTTAATAATTTGATGGAAAGTGAAACTTGGCTTTTCTATTCCTAAGATCAACTAATCAACATGGACCACAATGTCTTGTAATCTGATTCTAGGATTCAATATCGGAGTTATTTCATACCCTGAGCAATCATCAAGTTCATGTTACTTTATATCAGCTTGACTAATCAAGTTAAAGTTATCTTCAAATTGGTTGAATTTATATATACACACCTTTTCATCAGAGCTAACTGTCATCTTCTGTGAATCTATCACTTGTTCTTCCCTGTTTTTGTGATTATTACCTGCAACCAATGATTAGTACAGATAAGAAATATGAGGAGTTAAAACAATGCAAGATTGAAAACATGATCCCACCACCATCACTTTGATCAGACGAATTCTCCCGTACTAGAGAATTAAAGTCCCCATCCTTGAAGAGCATGAGCCTTGGCCCCTTCAAGCCTTCTCCATCCTCCTAAATTCACAGAGGAAAACAACTTCAACTAAATGAATGGTCAAAAGGGTTTAAGGAGATGACTTAAGAGGGACTAGTAACTTCCAACTTACATGTTCAATAGCGCTAAGTCTAAGGTCATTTGTCCTGAATCTCTGCAGAATAATGGTAGCATGTGAGCTACAGTGAATCGCTCGAGAAATATAAAGCATAGAAGACGATAATAAAACAAGACTAAGATCTGAAAAGTTGGCACAAATCAAACAGCATGCTGAAGATTATCTAATCGGATTAAGGAATTTCTATCCAAACATCTGGATTTTACTATCTTTGTCATGACAGAGGAGTATAGAGATTGAAACCACACTTACAGTTTTGGATAACTCTTCAATGAATTCCCTACGACCTGCCAGAAAAACAATCCGCAAAGGAAAATTAAAACAAATCTCAGATGAAAAAATCCCAAGACTAAAGACAACATCTAACAAAAGCAAACCATTTTCATCAGAATCAATCAAAAATCAAAGCCATTTCCACACGATCGTCCAGTGCAATGAAATGAAACTAAGGAGGAGAGAAAACGAAGCTGACCAACGGGAGTGATGCTCTTAAGCCGATTCGAGACGAAAATAAGAGGAGCGAAGACAGATATCGATAGCAGAGAGAGGATCAAAATCCTCTGCCATCGACGAATTTGTTTCATGAATATACAATCAAAAATTCTCTCCCGAATCTATCTTCCTCGAGAACTATTCCTATCTCGTTCTCCAGGAAGAAGTAGCAACGTCCACAAAGAGACTCACAAATCTCGGAGATTTCCTGCTTGATCAACAAGCAAATGAACGAAACGATGAAGAACTTAGGGTTTCTGGGATTGCTTTCCTCTAGTGGGAGATTCTATTCTTCGCTTCAATTTCTGGGTTTGGGGTCGGAAGAGACAAGTTTTAGATTCAGAGCTTCTTCATGCATCATCGGGGGGTTGTGCTCACTTATATATTTTTTAATTAACAGATATAATCATTGTTTAATTTGTTTTAGGTCTATCAAACTATATTAATATAGGTCGAATCGAATTAATTTGTTTATATAAGTTTCTTGGGTGTTCGTGTTGACATGTCAAATGTTAATTTAGGGTGTGTGTGAAGGACGCAGTGATGCGGATCAGGTGCGGGCAGGTGTACATGTGAAGACATGTGATTATGCCGTTGATGAAGCTGTAAGTTATTTAATATGATCAGTCTTCTTTCGGAACTTTTATCAATCACCAGTCATAAAAAGCCACGTGGATGGAGTTTTTTCTCCTCCTCATAGAAGACAAGAAAGGAACTTCAGTCTCACATCAATGGAAAATTAGCATGTTATGAAAAAATATATCTAGCATGTCGGCCAAAACAAATTAGGGCATAAATAGTTGTTTTTTTATTATGGGAAATAAATAATATAACGAAAAATGACTTTTGCCGATTCTGTTCATTATTTTTCAACAAAAATGTTAGCTGTTATTGGTTAAGGTTTCTTTTAAAAAGTTTGTCCTGTAAATGTTTTACTAGGTCCAACGGGGGTTAACATTGATTATGGATTCAGAGATTGTGGTCGAGTGGTAAAGAGATAGGTTTGGAGTGCCAATACGCTTCAAATTCGATTCATCTGCTAAACGAAATTCTAACACATTTTTTTTGACATCCACATGGATATAAATCTATGTTTATAGTCTATTGGAATATTCGAATAGAAAGAATTTATTTGTGGGTTGCACATCTACCAAAAATTAGTCTAGATCCGTTCATAGATTTCAGATTTATTTTGAGTTATTGAAATTTTTTTTGGCTAAGTCAGATTAAATTTGGGGGGGAGGGGGGGGGGGGTTGTTTGTTTAGAGAAGACGTTGGCAATTTGCTTAATTCGATATTGGAACGACGGGTCTTTTCATTTTATTTTGATTTAGTAAATAATGACAGTATCATATAAAGATACGTAATATGACTGAGCAATGCTTGAATTATCAAAAACGCTAGTTGATGTATTTTTCATTATATTATCAAATTGCTGCCGAAAAATTTAACTCTTGAAGTCGGTCAAAAGCACTAAAAAGTATGAATTTACGCAATGATAGAAAAAACAATTGAAATCAAGGTGTCAATATTGAATGAAACCTCTGTTTCAAAAAAATATATATATATGGAATGAAACCTTACTTTCATGCTTTAATAAGCCTGCTACAGGCCCTTCGGGAAAAAAAAAAACCTCTAATCCGATGTTATCTAGAGATGTCTCGTACCCAATACAAGAGTCTTTTACCTCTGGCCGTTGATCGGATCCGCATGTTGCATATTCTGTATTCATCAATTAATGTAAGCCAAATCCATTTTGTATTATTGCTGTACAAATCATTTTTACCGCCATCTGATTCTAAGATGAAGAGTTCACCAACGTTTGTTTTTCAAAACATGAGGATAGTAAATAACAATTTCTCACCAAAAAAGTCAAAAGGAAATCTATGTCATTCAAAATTTTTTCCTAATTAGATTAACCAAAAAAAAGTAAAATATTTGACCTAGTTTTCCCATAAATAACACAAAGAAAAGAAAGAAAAAAACGCCTTTAAGCGCTCGTTTTCTTGTCGACGAGAACACAAAAAACCCTTGTTCCAATAAAATAAAGAAGTGACACATCGCGTCTCTTAAAATTATAATAGACGACGACGGCCCTTCTTGTCCGAATCGTACGTCAATTCTTCCACCATAACATCTATTCCTCAGATCACCAGCGACCGAGCGAAAGAGACGACACATCTTCGCCGTTTTCGTTCTCATGCAGTTTTGGGGATAAGCACGTGTGAGCCCAACAGATAGAGAGAAAGATGGTGATGATTAAGGTGAAGAAGGAGACGATGAGGGCATGCTTTAGCTGCCCTCTCTGCGACAATATCCTCCGTGACGCCACCACTATCTCCGAGTGCCTTCACACATGTCAGTTCCTCTTCTAACCCACCAAATGTTTCGAATTTCCCTGACATTGGCTTTAATTTCTTCTCAATTTGGATGATTATAGCCTAGGATTCAAAATTCCTTCGTCTTGTCCTTTATCGGTACAATTGAAAGCGGCTCAATGAATAGTTTTTGTTGACCAAAAATATGCAATTTTGACTGCTTCAATTTCTCCTTCTTCGTCTGTATATTGTTAGTTGGATTCAGCATTTCATCTATAGTTTCCTTGTGGGTTTCAGCATCTTACTAGTATGCAATTCAATTTGTGTTTGTTATGCCAATTATGAAATTTAATACAAATCATCATCTTGTTTACTTGCTATCTACTGGAATGTTGTAAATAACTTCTGAGATTACTTTCCTACGCAGTTTGTAGGAAATGCATCTATGAAAAGATCACAGAGGATGAGATAGAGACTTGTCCCGTGTGCAATATCGACCTCGGTGGCACCCCATTGGAGAAGCTGAGGTAACCTAATCTTCTCCTGTATTTCAGCTCCACCATTTCTCATCAAAATTTGGTTCAAGCATTCATAAATTGATTTCCTCCTTATTCAATTTATGTGAAACTGTGCCTTTTTCGATTTTTTCCTCGTGTAAATGGTATCTTCTCAGGACAAAATCATTTGGTTAAGAAGGTTGTCTTATCAGTTATGCTCATTTAAAACTCTTAGCACAATGCTATCCATGAGACAAACCATTTATAGGGTGTTGTAGGAGAATCTAAATTGAATTTAAGTATGGAATCTCTTTTGTACTTTCCTTTTTTCTTACTCTTTATTGAACTGATGGAAGATTTGTTGTTGATTTAAATGTAATTAAGGAGCCATTTTTATGCATGGTTTTAGGCCTGACCACAATTTGCAAGACTTAAGGGCCAAAATCTTTCCTCTAAAACGAAGAAAAGTGAAAGCTCCTGGAATTGCGTCTGTACTGGCAAAGAGGAAGGAGAGATCTATATCGTCTTTGGTTGTGAGCACACCTAGGTTGTCAGCACAAGCTGGAACAACGGGAAGAAGAACTAAAGCGGCAACAAGAAAAGAGTTACGTAATGGCTCTTTGGCTGAGAGACGTGTGAAGAAAGAAGAATCTTCTGGGGATGAGCTTCTAGAGGGCACAAGCTCACCCGACACTCTTAACAAATTCACTCAGAATAAAAGGCACTTAAAGAAGGTGGTCACTGAAATACTCTACTTTCTCGTAATGACTTAATTTTATCTCTGACAAGCTTTGGTGGTTACAAATTTTTTTTTATATTTTAGCATGAAAGTAATAGTCAGTAAACTTTGGATAGTGTTATTGGTCTTCCATTCATTTAGGTTTTATCATGTTTTTTGCAGTCATGTAAAGAGTCCTTCTCCAATAAAGAAAACAAGGATGGTGATGAACCCTGGGATTCCAAATTGGATTGGAAACCTTTAAATTTTCTTGTTGAAGTGGCAAATAGGACTAAGCCCTTGAAGTCTTCTGCTTCTCAAGGGTCAGGCTCAAAATCTGAGCACGCGAATGCATCTCACAATCAATTTCAAGGGAGTAAAACCAAAACTAAGGATAAAAAAAGAAAATGTAAACGTGAGGATGAAAAGAGTAATGGTGATCCTACAACATCAGAAACTACTACTCCGAAAAGAATGCGTACAGCTCAACGCAAAAGGTCTGCCACCACTTTAGGCGATTCAAGAAATTTGCCACAACCAGATGAGTCAAGTGCAAAACAGGAGAGGAGAAATGGTCCCGTTTGGTTCTCACTTGTGGCGTCCAGTGATCAGTGAGATTTTTGCTCTCATATCTCAAACTATTTCTTTCCATGATACTTCTTCTCTTTCTTCATTTTGTTTATATTCTCTTGGTATATTGACAATGGCTTACTGGTTACAGGGAAGGAGGAACTTCTTTACCTCAAGTTCCAGCAAATTTTTTGAGAATAAGGTAGGTTTCATACCAGTTTAGATATTCTTTGTTTTATATATTCTGTGTTGTTGCTGCATCTTACATCGTAACTCTGAATTTCGTAGTCCCTCAATTTTCTATTATGAGGAATTCTTTTGTTGGGGAAGATAATCTAGTGTCTCATTCCGTGACAGGGATGGAAATATTCCAGTTTCTTTCATCCAAAAGTACCTCATGAGGAAGCTAGATCTCGAGAGTGAAACTGAGGTAAGGGTCTTTATATGCACTATGACACGATAGAGGATTGAGTTTGAATATAATGGAAGCTGGCTAATGGATCTTGTCAGTTCTTTAAAGCTAACAGGAAGTATGATCTTAGATGTTTGGTTGATCAAAAATTGACATATTTATGGTTTGTGTTCAGATAGAGGTAAGATGTATGGGAGAAGCAGTGATCCCGACTCTGACGCTTCACAAAGTAGTGGATCTATGGCTGCAGAAAAGTTCAAAGCACCAACGGTTTGCTGCATCGATAGGTTCCTCCGCAAAGGATTTTATGATGGTGCTTGACTATGCTCGGAAGCTACCAGAGAGTGCAACAAGTAAAAGGACTATAAAGACTCTTGTTGTTGCAGAAGAAGATTCTGTGGAGACAGGGTAATCTATTTTTCTCTTTATGGAATCTCTCAAAGCATTACAAGAGAGGACATTACTACAACTGCAGGAGCGGTCGAATGAGTTGTGAAATTAGTAGTAATTTTTTTTATATAAACGAAATATAAACTCATGAGAGGCTTTTCCGTTCAAGACAATACAAAATTTGTTTTTTTTTTTTTCTGTTCTTTCTCTTCTTCTACTATGTGCCCTCTCTGGACTTGCATGTAATGTTGTTGTCACTTTCTAATCAAGTGTTGTAGTTTTAGATGTTTTAGATTGATGTCTATGCATTTATTTGGGTACTACATCATTTTTATGGAACGTATATATTTTCCAAGAACTACTGTTCAAGTGTTGACAATGGATGACGAATGTAGAACTTTGATGACCTATATGGAGACAGGAAAACTACCAAATTAACGACATATTATACTTATCTGACAAAGAAAATGGAATTCATTATCACTAATTTGTGTTACCGTGAGAACCGTTATGTCGTGACAACCATCATGCTTTATTCCAAACATATATGACTAACATATTGATATCTCAAATTGTTATGATGTTAAAACATGTTACAAGTGTGGATTTTAATACATTCTTTTAATTCATGTTTTACATAGGATATTCAAAAGAAGAGAAAAATCAATGATGAGTGAATTAGTCTATGTATATAACCTAGACTAGATGCCCATGTACATGTGTTGCTCATAAGAAATGTAACTCTATGCATCATAACAAAAGTAAAGTTATACACATATTCCACTATCAATTTAGATTAGTTGATCACATACTTGAACTAGTAAATCCCAATATTTGAATTTATCTTTAATCCGGATTATTTTAACATAGACACATCACACATGAACAAGTAGTGTGCAACATATTCTAGAAGATGGTCATCTTAGGTAGTATTCAATCAAATGATTTTGTGTCAAAATGTAATTGAAATTCCACGTTTAATGGTTCGGTCCACTCCTTGATTAGTTAAGTTTTATATCAACATAATTTTCATCGAACTTCTCTTTTGCATTATTCGAAATACCAAATATACTGTAATACTAGCAAGAAAAAACAAAAGTTTTGACATATCTTGCTTAATAACAAAATATCTCATTGCACAGTAATCCATTTTTCACGGTTAGATAATCAAAAGAAACCTCACAGAATTTTCTACAGAATGCAGAAAGCAAAAACGAATTTCATCAAGTATATAACGAGTTATAATAAAATGAATCGAGTCTAAAAGCACAACAAATATGCCCCAAAGCATCTAATCCACATCCACTAACTCACTCATCCCACCATCCACACTCCTTCTTTGTAAGCCGTTGATAAAGTTTGATCCAACGATTAATATTCAAACCTGGGAAAACAATAGCGATCCGCGTATCATTGTTTCAACCAATCAGAAGCCAGATATGAATTGCCGTCTAATACACATCTAACTATATAAATCGGACGTTTCCGATGAACTCTTCACAATCCTCATAATCACTTTCGAAATTACATTTACGTTTTCTAGCAATCAAATTTTCCGATCTTAAGTTCCGAAGACGATGTCAGAGGTGGAGTTAGAGAACGCTGCTACGATCGACGGAACCGCCGCTGAGGATGCGACGGTGACGGATGCGGCAGTCGAGAAGAAGAAGCCTGCAGCGAAGGGACGAAAGACGAAGAAAGTTAAGGAAGTGAAGGAGAAGAAGACTGTTGCTGCCGCTCCGAAGAAGAGAACTGTTTCATCTCATCCTACTTACGAAGAGGTAAAATCAGATTTGCGTTTCTTTTGCCGGATTTAGATATTCAGATTAGAGATTGATTTTGCGATTTTTGTTGTTGTTGTGATTTCAGATGATTAAGGACGCGATTGTTACGTTGAAGGAGAGAACTGGATCTAGCCAATACGCGATTCAGAAGTTCATCGAGGAGAAGCGTAAGGAGCTTCCTCCAACATTCAGAAAGCTCTTGCTTCTCAATCTGAAGAGACTTGTTGCTTCTGGGAAGCTTGTCAAGGTCAAAGCCTCGTTTAAACTCCCATCGGCGTCGGCTAAAGCTTCATCCCCTAAGGCGGCGGCGGCGGCGACGACATCTGCTCCTGCGAAGAAGAAACCGGCGGCGGCTGTGGCGGTTACTAAGCCCAAGGGAAAGGTCGCAGCGGCTTCCAAAGCGAAGAAATCATCAGCCGTTAAACCTAAGACAGCTGCTGCTAAGAAAGTGACTGCCAAGGCTAAGGCTAAGGTTGTTCCTCGTGCCACTGCTGCTGCACCTAAGAGGAAAGCTGTGGATACGAAGCCCAAGGCTAAGGGTAGACCAGCCAAGGCAGCCAAAACGGCCAAGGTAACATCGCCGGCGAAGAAAGCTGTTGCTGCGAAAAAGAAAGTTGCTACGGTGGCCACGAAGAAGAAGACTCCGGTGAAGAAGGTTGTGAAGCCAAAGACGGTGAAGTCTCCAGCAAAGAGGGCTTCTTCTAGGGTGAAGAAGTAAAATTAGGGGTTGTAGGTAGAAGAAGGGTTAACGATAGTTGGTTAGTCTTGTATAATTCAATGATCCTTTTAAGTGACTTGTTTGCTTTTCTTCTTTTCAGTGTTCTTGTAATTCACAGTTCCTTTGGTCTCTATCCCTTAAAAATCATATATAGATTTCATCAATGAAGCAAAATCGAGTTTCTTTGCAGCTAATTTGTTTCAGGTTACTACTGTTCCTTGTTGAGTTATACTAAACATTGGACGATATACAATCAACAAACTTTTACTCCTAACATTGTATATAAGTAACAACAACATTGAAGTTATACAATCAACAAGTTATGTTCTTTCTTTGTTGACTCTGCTCTCGTTTTCTACCTTGACCTCTTCAGCTTTTGGTGTTGTTGAGAAGTTGTTTAGAGCTTTCAACTTTCTGAATGGAGTATTTTAGTTCCTGTTGAATGTTAAACCTTGAAGGTGAAAGAACAATGTCTTTCCAGATTGATCCAGTTTCACAAGCAGGATTGGGTTGTCTATAAAGCTCGTAAATGGAGTCTGCGTTCTCGTTTAACCCTCCTACTCGTTTCAAACAGTCTATCTCTTCTGTATCCACTAGCAACGTCTTTTCCTTTTCTTTCCAACCTATCAGCTGTGTCACAATCACACTTCACCTATTAGTATTTTCTCACCTAGCCTAGGGGTGGTGCAGGTTATTGGAGACCTATGTGAATGAGTTCAATTGGTCTAGGACCTTGGCTTAGGCATTGGTCGAGAGTTAGAGACTTCTCTTGTTTAATTGGTTAAGTTATTTTGTGCTTTGAATAAAAGTACGAGTTTATCGGTTCCAATCTCAACACTAACCTTTGGAGAGCCTTCCAGTGCGTTGGTGCAGTAGAGCCTAGCATTGTCGACAAGGCTGCAATATGTAGGAAATGCTTCCGCAAACCGTTTGTGAGATCTCAGCTGTGATCTCACCCTAACTGCTCTTCTGCACATGATGGCTCTCCTATAATCTCAGCCAAAAACACTCTTCAAGTTAAAGAGACATACTTGAAAGATAGATTGATATGATAGATAGATAAGATGGTGCTTGTACTCACCTAATGCCTCTTATTACTGCTAAATATGCATCGCATACAACTCCAACTAGTTCTATTCTATACGGTTTTCTCCTACGACCATCCTCTTGAAGCTGTTGCCTTTCACCAATCCGTTCCCAATAGTTCTCTGTGATAACTCCATCATCACCAACCTTGTATCCAGCTCCCATTCTGTAATGGTGACGGTGCACGTTTCTCGCCATTGTTATTGTCTGCACCACAAAAGGTACCCACGAGAGTGTCCCATCCATTATCACATCCCTCCCTTCATTCAGAGCCGTCACTAGCAGGGATGAAGCTGCATCTGTAGATGACTGGTGAACCTATTCACACCAATTTTCAACCTTAAAATCAATCTTTTGATTCACTTAACAGGTTCTTGAAGAATTTGATCATCATGTCTTACCAATTCAGCTGTCTGGATCATATCGACATGGCCACGAGAGCTTAAGGCTCTGTAAATGACATCAGATTCTTTGAAAGCATCAGCTTCAATCACCACAGAGTCTGCTCCTGCCCAGAATGCTCTGAATCCATTTTGAACATCATCTGGTTAGCTTCAGCTACATAGATATATATGTTTAGTAGTAGAAGTGGTAATTATATAATGAGATGTTTAGTTACTCTTTGAGTATGTCCTTAAGAACAGTGCTTTTTCCTGCACCCATCCCACCACCCATGAGGAGCAGAACCGGACTTCGGTCTTTGTGAGCCACAGGTGCCATAACTTCTGTACACTGCGAGTCATCAGCAGACGCGAGCCCCATTGCTTTCATTTCTTCTACCAAAGTGTTGAACACTCTTGCCACTTTTAAGTTCTTAGTCACCCTCTTAATCCTCTGCTCCCTATATACATATACACACAAAATCAATTATTCATAAATCCCTAAAACAGAACACACACAAATCCTGTTTCTGTTTCTTTGTTTCTTACCTTGTAGCTGCCATCACAATTTGCTTCAGCTTCCTCTTTGGCTCAGCATCCGCGCTCAATATCTGAGATTCATATATTATGAACATTGAATGTTTTGGTCTAAAATGTGTTATAACAGGAGAATGGTTTTTTCTTTTCAGACAAACCTGACTAATCATGAGATCGGCGTGGCTCCAGTGAAACGCAAAGTAGCTGAGAATGCATCTTTCAAACTCCTCAACAAGCTTAATGAAGAGGGTATCAGCATCAGGCTCTTCAGAGAAAAAGCTGTAAATATCTTCTTCACAACATTCAGATTTGCTTATGTATTCTGCTGCTAACTTGCAGAGATTTGGACACTCTCTTCTGTCCTTGAATCCCATTTGCCTTGCTACGCTTCCACGTAAATTGGAAAAAAAGAAAAAGCATTAACTTATGATCCAAGGCATTGCTTGCTCATCAATGTGTTTAGATGTCTTTACCGACGTAATGAGAGAATCTCTCGAGTTTCTCATGGCCTTTGTGTTTGTGAGATAATCTGAGACGAGGGATGATTTTGGAGTCACGTATCCTCCGCAGGCGGTAATGCACTGCGGCTGCTATCATCAAACCTATCGATGAAACCACCAATATCTGCGAGTAAGTCGAAGTTCTGTTGCCGGAATATTCTGTCAAAACAACAACACATTCAGTTTCACAAGATCACGAGTAATTAAGAATATATTTTTATCAAAAACTTCACCTCTCTGCATGACGATGGATTGATTAGTGGGATTCGTAAGGATCAATTGGAGTGTGTTTTGATGAAACTCAGATTGTTCGTCGTCACCATTGTTGTTGTTGTTGTTTCTTGAGTCTTCATTGTGTTTTCGTTTTCCGTAATCTGTGGCGAAGATTAAGGAATCTGACTTCGTTACCACCATCCAATTTAGTCCTACGGTACTAAAAGTAGCTGAGGAGATAAAAATTGGCCTTGGGAAACTCTAATTATAGGTGTATGCAAAATCAAGTACCAAATTTTAGGTGTCCGGTATCTCAGGTAAGGATAGTAAAAGATTATCAGATTCGACCCAATAATTTTTTTCAGTCATTGAGAAATTTCCTCAAATTAAAAGTTGATCAATTTCATGTCGAAAAAGGAAGTAGCATGCTACATTTACCTAAAAGTCTAAAACCATAGTAGCAACTTATAATTTCGAACTACTGAGAGCAAATCCTCTACCAAAAAATCTCCTAAAACCTAAAAAACCCCGCAAATACTACTACTGTTACATTACATAGGAGCAGTGCAAGTTGTTCTGAAATGGCCGGTCTGATTACACCGACCACAATGAACCACACGCCTCACACGGTCACGATCCTCTGCCCTAATTCTCCTCTTCCTAGGAGCAACTCTCATAGCCTTTGGTGTTTTTATTACATCTTCGCTATCTCTCTCTGAATCATTTCCTTTCCACTGACCTTTGTCTGATATTGGCTCTACAGTTTCTGCATAAGCTCTTCTGTAATTCTCTACAGTGAAACAACTCTCTGTGTATATATAAACGTCCTCTTTGCAAGACAAGATAGCTCCAACGGCGTGGCTACATGGCAAACCATAAACCTGCCACCGGCCGCATAAACACGAACGGTTTTCCAGATTTACAACGACATTTCCTTCATGAGTCATGACTTCAAATTCTGTTTCGTTTGCTCTGTAAACTCGGTGAACACCAGATTGTTCTTTAGCAGCAAGCATTTGTCTCTCGGCAGAAGGAACAAGCACATCAGACCAATGTGAGCTCGTTTCACGGCGTTCTTTCAACACATTTATCAAATGGCGGTGGATACACTCCATCATTTGGATTATAGGAAGACCTGTGGTATCTTCAATCCAGTTGCTGAGTGACTCGGTAATAACATTTGCAGTTAAACGTCCAAACCTTGTTCCTTCGGAGTATGAAGATGCCCATCGAGCAGGAGAGAAGTTTTGGATCCATAAGGAAGCTTCCGGGGATATCTGCTCGATCTTATTGATTTTTGATTTGAAATCGAGAACACTGAGACAATGTGCAGCCTCCCAAAAAAGGTCCACCAGAACAGAGCTTTGAAATTCCCTTTGCAACCGTTCTGTGAGATAATGGACACAAAAGCCATGAAATGCTGTTGGGAAATTAGCCTCTACCCCATCAGCAACGGGTCTCTCTCCGCTGGACAATATGGTAAGCTTTGGCATATTCTCAGAGTTAACATCTAGAATATTACGAAGCTCGGAGAGAAACCGATGCCAGTTGCTATCGTTCTCTTCATTAACAATAGCGAATGCCAAAGGAAATACAGCTCCATCTCCATCAAATCCAGTGGCAAGTAACAACGTCCCTGGATATTTGCTCTTTAAAAGAGTACTGTCCAGTGCAATAAGAGGCCGGCAAGCATTTAAGAAACCAGAGATTGATGCTTGGAAAGAAATAAACAAGTGTTCAAAGCACCCATCGATCGGATTCACATGAACCACAGCGACGCTCCCGGGATTAGACCTTCTGATTTCATCACAGTATTGGGGAAGAAGGCGATATTCTTCTTCAAATGACCCACGAAGAGTAGCCATAATACGCTCTTTCCCCCTCCAGGCCTGCTTGTAAGACAGTGAAATTCCATGAATTCGATAAATTTCCTCTAGTATCTCCTTAGGTTTGAAATGCGGATTTTCTTTAAGCTTTTCTGCCACAACATCAGCAACCCACTGGACTGAAGCTTGCTGATGACCAAGATGTGAAATCCCACCACAAGTATGACTCCCGTGAATAGTCCTTATTGTAAAAGTTGGCGCATTAGAAACTTTGGCGCAGTGAATCCTCCATGGGCAACCCTTGCTGTTGCACTTTGCGGTGAAGCGAGTCTTGTCAGATTTAATCGTCCGCATCTCAAAACGTAGAGAAATTGCTGCATTTTTAATTGCTCTCCTACAAGCATTGGCATCAGAAAATTCCATACCAACGACCATTTCATGGTCAGTAGACCAGCATTGAGGGCTAGGAGAAGCCATGACAGGTTTCTGAGAAAACTCGATGCTTTGACTCACCTCCAACTCTAAGTTATCATCGATATCTTGAGACTCTTGCTTTTGGATAGCGCCCGTGGCTCCAGGTACAATTGATTTATCAATCTCAGAAGTTCCAGAGTCATCATTATCAGGAAAAGAGAGATAGCCATCATTTTGGTTTACATCTAAACATGCCTCTTCTTTCGTTCCATCGTTCACATTGTGTTTCTGGAGGTGGTTCCAGACCTCATTTCCCTCATAGGAGGCACCAATCTGGAGGTTGATATCGAGTAGCTGTTCGAAGGCGGAATTGTAGTCATGACCGAAGAAGAGTTCATAGTTGGGTCGAATACCCGTAAAATGATCCTGCCTAAAAGAGAAATCACGGTTCTCAGACTTCACCAGCTCGTCGTTTGCCATTCCAATAACAAAAAGAAAACAATGCAGAATCTAATCTGATGTTCACAGGAGATCCTGACACTCACTTAATTACCTGTCAAAGTAAAAGACAATGCATGAATGGAGGAGACCAAACATCATCAAAGTGATTAAACCTATAAGGAGGATTAGCCAAAACAAACCCAATTCGAAAATTCACAAACTTGATCATGCAAGCGCATACTATAGAATATAAACAAGCCCAAAATCCAATGCTTTCGAATATAAGAAACAGAATAAAACTGCAGGGAAGCAAACAACCAAAAAAGAAAGGGAGGATTTTGAAACTTACAATAGAAAATTTTGAGTAGAATCTAAATCCATGGAAACTCAATTGAAGAAACGAGTAGACGCATTGAAAGAGAAGTAATTTGGCGGGTAAGAAATTCAGTGTAGGGTTTAACTGTTTCAAGGGGAAACAAAAATTTATTCTGGACTAAGGAGAGGAGAAGAAGAGGCGACGAGGTTGATACATACCAACCATCTGGTTAAAAAGGTAACTCTGTGGTTTAAGGGTATTTTAGTCATTTCAGATCCGTCGCCGAAGTTGGAAATAGCATCTCATTGGTATAATCGCCTAGGATATTTATTTACTTTATTCGAGGTCGCATACATTGGCCCAGCCCAACCCCTAATTTACTTATTAGTTACTGATTGATTAGTCAAAGATATTCTTGTTTGTGTTAATGACTTCGACGCGTCTACAATGATGACCTATGGTGATTGGCGAATTAACACAAACTCCTCGGATTGAATTAAAAATCTCAAGTTTGCTTCTTTCTCTTCCTAATGCTTATAAACACCGTTTTACGTGTGACGAGTTGAGATTTCAACACGCACCGTCACAGAGACATTTGACTACAATCACTATGCGCCTTCCACACGCTAGTTAATTTTTGAGGGCAATAAACTAACTTCCACAAAATCCCGACCAAAAATTCGCATTTTAACGACTTTAAACAACAACAAGACAAACAGAAAATACTAGTACCAAACTTCTCTTTATGTGAACCCCCTATTATCACTAATATTGTAAAATCACCTTCTCTTTCGTATCTCCCAAAGAAAAAAATATTGCCAACCAATCATTTACCTGATATTTCTTCATCCACTAATAAGAGTCTGCTGAAACAAAAATCTTCATCATTACCCTGGTTTATCTTCTGGTTTACAAGTCTCTATGCAAATCCTTGAGAGCCATCAAAATCACGCCGCCAAAGAAAATTTATGTGTCAGGCGATTTTGTTTCAAATGAATCAAGATGAAGCCTTCACACAACACCTCCCACGTTCAAGCTCTGCAAGCAATTCAGAAACCACTTTTTCCATAGAGATTGTTTCTATCTGCTGCTTGTTGCTCCCATCCTTTATCATCCCTTTCGAGAGCAGATTGATTCTAGGAGATTCTGAATTTTCAGCCAGGAGTTGTTCGAAAAACATCTCTTCATCATTCAGCTTCGAGGCCTTCATCAGATCCACCACTTGATGCCTTTTTGCAACATTTCTACCTGCTCCACAACCCATTGCAGTTGCTGCTCCAACCGCATTTGCAATTGTTAAGGTATTAACAAGCGGCATGTTTCGTATATAACCTAATGCAATTGCTGCAACAAAACTGTCTCCACATCCAACAGTGTCAACCACTTCCACCTGATGATGATGATGATGTTTTCGGAAAGAAAATTAGATCACAACACAAACTTACTCTATGATACATACATAAAAATTCAATTTTCAGCACCTTGATGTGAATGCCAAAATGAACGATATATATGATCTGTAAGCAAGTACCTTAAACGCAGGTGCCACTGAGACACTAGATTTCGTCACTAGAATTGAACCCTTTGCGCCCATCTTTACAATCACCCATTTCGTTCCCTTTCCATTCCTCAGAATTTCTTGTCCTGCTTTTACAGGGTTCCTGATGCCAGTTAGAGCCTCCGCCTAGGTAATTCATTAAACAGGTCAACAATAATTTGACCCAGTGGAGAATTTTTCAACATTATGGAGAGAGGTGCAATGTACCTCCTCAGATGTTAGAAGAAGAACATCACTCATTCTTAAGAAGTGAGAAAGTGCTCGACGCTCATCAGGAGTTCCCTTGGAAAGACTCTTTCCCCGTGGTCCAGGATCGAAGAAGATAGCTGTCCCAACTTTGGAAGCGTAATCTATTGTTGACATTATAAAACTAGGGCTGAAATCGTCAAAGTCATAACCATTGCAGAAAAGAACTTTTGACTGTCTGATTGCCATCTTTACTTCATCAGATAGGTCAGTGATCCAACTGAAAGCAGGTTCCTCCTTGAAATCAGCTCGACTAAAAAAGAGAAACAACTAGAGAGAATAAGTATCCTATAGTAATACAATTTAAGGAGCTTAAAACGAATAATCAGGATTCGAAGTAAATACAACAATATTACCCATAAGAATTTCACAAAAAGACAACAGAATTAGAAATAAAATGGGACATAAGAACTCAAAGAACTAGGAAATGGCATTGGAGGCAAGTATGAAATATCACCCTCTAGCGTTTGTCTCACTATGAGAAACAAGAAAGCCGTATCTTTCTAAACATATAGCATTAAGAAAACTATGGCTCTCCGACTGAAAATCTCCTATGGCTACACTTTGGTTTCCGAAAAAGCTCTATCAAAGAAATCTTCCATTTCTAGAAACCCATCACTGTACATCAATGAGATGATGCATTCACTATATACCATTAGCAATTGTTATCCCACATAAACAACCTCTACCATAGATATTATTAAGTTTTGGCATGGTAAAAAGCAGTACCTACAAAACCCATGCCTCTGCAAAGGATCCACAAGAACCCAGCAAATGAGAGTTTCACAGAATGAGCTGGTATCTTTGGCATTTGTTCCTCTATCCAATGCAACCGTCCCTATTCCTTCCTCATGAAGCACATCTAGAAGAAACTCACCGTAGATTTCATCCCCCACATGACCAATAGCAACACAATGAAGCCCCAATCTAGCAGCAGCTATAGCCATGTTACAGTTGCCACCTGCTTCCCAGTATTTCTATAAGCAAAACAGGGAACACAAAATTCACTATTAACATCAGGATCAGAAAGAATAAAAACAATGACTCAACAATACTCTAACCCTAATTCAATTGAAACGAGCGGAAACAAAGGTTCAATTTCCTCATCAAAGAGATTGAGCTAAGAAGTTCTTTCTATCAACCCGAACTTAGGCAGAACAAAGAATACGTATAATGCTTGATTATCACCATTGAAACACCAAGAAGCAGTTAAGGTCAACATTTAGAATCCAAACCTTATCTGGGGGAGAAAGAGAGAGTTCGTCCATGAGGGCCTTGCGTTCTTCACGAGAAGGAGGGGGCAATTCGTGAACACTGAGAACAATGTCGACGCAGAGATTACCCAAGGTTGCGACATCGATAGGTTTCTCGGCCACCACGATACCTCCAGTATCCCCGAGAGAGCCGATGGAGGAGGAGCCATTGGCGTATCTAACCGGAAATACATCAGCGGCGCTGCTCCGGCAGCGGAGGAAAACAGAGCTGCTCACATTCGGAACTCTAGCGAATGGCGGGAAATTAGGGAGGAGAGGATTAGGGCTTTGGGTGGAGAAATTGGAGAGTGATAACGCATAGTGAGGAGAGAAGGAGTGGAATTTTAGGGAAAAAGCGTGGTGATACATTCAGAAAAACCCAGAAAGAAAGAAGAAGAAAGAGACTTGATTTTGAATTTGCGTCGTCGCTCTCTCTCAGCTTCTCCTCTCTTCTTCGTCTTCAATCTTCTTGAAATGAGATTCTTTTTCTTCTTCACCATTTGAGGAAGAAGGAAGGAAGGCTTCTGTTCTGTGGTAAGCTAAACCGGAGTGAAATTAGAATGTCAAATTAAACCGAACCGGTTATTTAAACCGCCTTGAAATTAAAAATTGGAGGTTTTATAAAGAAAGGGTTTTTCATCTTTACCTGATTATACTTGTCGACGGCGGACACCAAGTTGTTCATCGTTTAGAGCTCACTGCAAGCCATGGCCGCCGACGAACTGATGCCGTCTCACAGGTCACACAGGACTCCCAAATCAGGTCCTACCGCGAGGAAGAAATCTGAACAAGATAAGAAGAAGCGTGGAATCACGGTTAACAAGACGCCAAACTTTAAGGTGAGTAACTACTTGTCCTCTCTATGTCAATGTCTTTTGAGAGTTATTTTGTTGATTTTACTTGGTTCTGCAGGCGTTTGGTGTTAAATCGGCTCGCAGGGCGCAGCGATCAAAATCTCGCGCTGCGGAGAAGGATCAAAAACGACTTCATCTTCCGAAAATTGACCGTACTTTTGGCGAAGCTCCTCCTTTCGTCGTCGTCGTTCAAGGCCCCCCAGGAGTACTGTGTTTTAGACTGATGTTGCGTTTTCACTCTCGGTTTTGGTTATTTTCTCACAAGTTTTGATTGTTTCTTTCCACTCTGATTTTGTTCCTCTAGGTTGGAAAGTCTCTCGTGATTAAGTCTCTTGTGAAGGATTTTACAAAACAGAATGTACCGGAGGTTCGAGGACCTATTACCATTGTACAAGGTTCTGTGCTGCATTGTTTATTGCTTCTTCTTCTTTTCTTTTTTTCTTGTATGTACCGTGAATTTTTTATTCCTAATCTCATTTTTTGGCTGGTCATGGTTTTAGGTAAACATAAAAGGTTTCAATTTGTGGAGTGCCCGAATGAGGTCAATGCCATGGTGGATTGTGCAAAGGTTGCTGATCTAGCCCTACTTGTTGTAGACGGGAGTTATGGTTTTGAGATGGTGAGAGACCATTTTTCTGCAGCTTTCTCCTTTTGCCATCCCGTTTTCTTTTTCATCATGTTATTTGGTTTTGTGAAGAATCTTTATTATATATACAAGATCACTGTTGGGCCTTTTTTGTGATAAACAACTAAGGTTTGATACGTGAACTGTCTTTTAATCTGTTTGACCCTCAGGAAACCTTTGAATTCCTCAATATTATGCAAGTGCATGGATTTCCTAAAGTTATGGGTGTCCTCACTCACCTTGATAAGTTCAACAATGTAAAGAAGCTGAGGAATACTAAACACCATCTCAAGCATCGGTTTTGGACCGAAATATATAGTGGAGCTAAATTGTTCTATTTATCTGGTCTCATTCATGGGAAGTAAGTATCTGTATTGGTACTTCACCAACATGGATGACATGTGCAAGGAGCGTTTGAGGTTCACCTTTGATTTATCTTTTATTGCTAGGTATTCGCCACGTGAAGTTCACAACCTCGCCCGCTTTGTATCCATTATCACACCTCAGCCTTTGACATGGCGAACATCACATCCATATGTGTTGGCTGATCGCCTTGAAGATGTTACCCCTCCTGAGAACGTTCAGATGGATAAGAAATGTGATAGAAATATCACTTTGTATGGTTACCTACGTGGCTGTAACTTCAAAAAAGGGATGAAGGTATGTATGTCATCACTGTTCTTAGATACTCTGGTTCATCTTAGCCTTTTTCTATGGCCTGAATTCTTGACCCACTTGTTTGCTTAGCAGTATGTGGCGCATAAGTACTCAATATTTTGGGAAAAGACCAATTTTAAAATTGAGCCTAGAGATGAGCTGATTTGATGTCAATTTGATGTTATATATACGGTCTTCCTTACTGGTATTGTCCATAGATTCTTAGAACTAGTTATTTTTAGTTCTCGAAATATTTTTAGAACTAGTTATTGCATCATAGTAACCGAAAGTAACCCGTAGCTAGTTCTCTTATCGAATGAAGTTCTAAGAGGAGGAGCATAAATTTGTATACCTTCTGACTTCTGTGTTGTACCTGAATTTGTCTTTGCTTCTATATCTAATTGAACGATTTTGTGTGCAAAATGGTATCTTAGCTGTTACAGTTTACCTCTCTTTCATGTTTAACATGCATCTGATATAATTTCTTATGATGATCAGGTTCATATTGCTGGAGTTGGCGACTACAGTGTAGCTGGGGTGACTGCTTTACCTGATCCTTGTTCTTTACCTTCAGCTGGCAAGAGAAAAGGGCTGAGGGACAGGGATAAGCTTTTCTATGCTCCTATGTCCGGGATTGGAGATCTTTTATATGACAAAGATGCTGTTTACATCAACATAAATGATCACCAAGTTCAGTACTCTAAAACTGACGATGGAAAGGGAGAACCTACTAATAAAGGTTATTTATGGGGTTTTCCAAGTTTTATTGTCATATACTTGTTCTGTATGTAACTGCAGTAGTCTCTTTTGAGTGTCTTGCTCATTTCATGTTTAAAAAATTTCTACATATTTAGAATTTGGTTTACATCATTCTCCATGATAGAAAACCAATAGTTTTTGCTCACTTTTTGTAGCTCTAGCATCTCTGATTGTGACATTTTTTCTCTTGGCAGGAAAGGGCAGAGATGTTGGTGAAGATTTGGTAAAGTCGTTGCAGAACACAAAGTATTCTGTTGATGAGAAACTGGATAAGACATTCATTAACATTTTTGGCAAAAAGACTAGTGCCAGTTCAGAAACAAAACTTAAGGCTGAAGATGCGTATCAATCCTTACCGGAAGGTTCTGACAGTGAGTCTCAATCTGGCGATGATGAGGAGGATGTAGTAGGTAATGACAGTGAAATCAAGCAGGAAACTGAGATTCATGGTGGAAGGTTGAGGAGGAAAGCTATCTTCAAGCAGGACTTAAATGAAGATGATTTTGAGGAAGCAGATGATGTTGAATTGGACTCATATGACCCAAATATATACGGTTTTAAGGAAGCAGACGATGTTGAATCGGACAAAAATGAAGTTGAAGATGGTGGAGATGACTTTGCTTCCGATTCGCCAGATGATGAGGCAGGGGATTATCAGATAGATGGTATATTAATTCTATGTTTGAATTTATTTTTGTATAGATGATGTCCTGATAGTTATGGGGCTTCTATGAGAAGGTTTTAGATTTTATTGAGAAAGTACATTGTCCTTTCCCTTTTGAGATTTTGTTCATTCCTAAACATTTACCTTACATGGCCTGTCAGATAAGGACTTTGGTAACATATCAAAATGGAAAGCACCCTTGAAGGAGAAAGCCAGAAAGAAGAACCCCAACTTGATGCAGATTGTGTATGGAGCATCGGGATCATCAGCTACTCCCTTGATAAATGAGAACCATGACATTAGTGATGATGAAGAAAGTGATGATGAAGACTTCTTTAAGCCAAAAGGAGAACAAAGCAAGGTTTGTCATCTCAAGTCTGTACAAAATTTGGTGATCCTTTCTTGCTCTTGGAAAGGAATATCTCAATCGTTATTTTTTCATATAAATCCAGAATCTGGGTGGTGAATGGGATGTGGGATATGTCAACTCAGAGGATTGTTCTAAATTTGTGAATTATGGTTACCTAAAGAATTGGAAAGAGAAAGAAGTCTGTGAGAGCATTCGTGATCGATTTACCACTGGTGATTGGTCAAAAGCTGCTCTGAGAGACAAAAATTTAGGTACTGGCGGTGAGGGAGAAGATGATGAACTTTATGGTGATTTTGAGGATCTAGAGACGGGAGAGAAGCATAAAAGCCATGTTAACATGGAATCGGGTGCAAATGAAAATGAAGATGAAGATGCAGAAGTCGTTGAGCGTAGGCTAAAAAAGCTGGCTCGTCGAGCAAAGTTTGATGCAGAATATCCTTTTTACCCGAATGACATCATTTAACTTATCTAGGCACGATATCATTTGCTGATTCATCTCTGTGTTAGGCAATTAAGTTGTCTACTGCTGTCTGTGTTTATTATTCTCTGAAACAACTCACATGAAAATATGGTGAAAAATTATAGCTTAGTCAATCAAATGGGTCACTAAGTTGTAAGTTCATATATCGCTCTGGTCAGTGAGTTCATGGTTGCTGTTTAGATATTCTACCTCTGCATGTCTTATATGTCATATTTGGTTTTATGCTATCATGTCAATTTGCATTTTGGCAAGTTGCTTTTGGTTCAACCTTAACTTCGTTGTACAAGCAATAAATCCGAGTTAGAGGAGGATGACAATGATAAAGGTGATGGGAACAATCCTCGTAGTCAAGCCAATGAACCTGGATACGTTGATAAAGTAAGTAGATTTTGCTGCAGGCAGCTAAGGTATCTAATCTATCCACTGTTTTAAAACTCACTCTATTTGCTTTGCAGTTGAAGGAAGAGCTTGAAATTATAAAACAGAGGAATGAGTTAGAATACAATGATCTTGACGAGGAAACTCGAATTGAGTTAGCGGGATTCCGGACTGGAACATACTTGAGGCTGGAAATTCACAATGTTCCTTATGAGATGGTTGAGTTCTTTGATCCTTGTCATCCAATTCTGGTTGGAGGTATTGGTTTCGGCGAGGACAATGTTGGATATATGCAGGTAAGGCTACAACGATTTTCTTTTCTTCTGACCCAAAAGAAAGTCCAATTGGGCACACTGCTCATTTCATCTTAAAAGATGAAATATCTTTTTCTTATATAAAGGTAGTTGAAACATGATCCTTTATTTGAAAGATGCTTATTGTATCATATTTATCCTTGTACTCAGGCCCGGTTGAAGAGACATAGGTGGCATAAGAAAGTACTAAAGACAAGAGATCCTATTATTGTGTCTATCGGATGGAGACGCTATCAGACTATGCCTGTATATGCCATTGAAGATCGCAATGGCAGGCATCGAATGCTCAAGTATACTCCAGAACACATGCACTGCCTTGCTACGTTCTGGGGTCCTCTTGTCCCACCCAACACCGGCTTTGTCGCTTTC